AGGTAAAAAAACAACAACAAAAAACAGTAAACAACAAATGGGACTACATCAAATTAAAAAGCTTCTGCACAGCAAAGGAAACCATCAACAAAATGAAATGGCAACCTATGGATTGGGAAAAAACATTTGCAAACCAAATATCTGATAAAGGGTTAATATCCAAAATTACATAAAGAACTCATATAACTCAACAGCAAAAAAACCAACAAACCACCAAAAAATCTGATTTAAAAATGAGCAGAGGAACTGAGTAGACATTTTTCCAAAGGAAAAGTACAAGTGGCCAACAGGTGCACAAAAAAGTGCTCAATTCCCTCATCATCAGGGAAATGCAAATCAGAACCACCAAAAGCTACCACCTGTACCTCTGAGGACAGTTATCATCAAAAGACACGAGATAACATGCCTTGGCAAGGACGTGGACAAAAGGGAACCCATGTGCACTGCTGGTGAGAATGTAAATTGGCGCAGCCACTATGAAAAACAGGAGGTTCCAAAAAAGATTATAAATAGGACTATCGACACTAATAAAAGAGAAAGATGCAAATTGACGGTACCTTCACGACGCCCACCAATCAGGAGTGAGTATGCAAATTAACCCAATAAAGATGGCAGGTTAATTTGCATGCACAGGCACCGAGTGGCCGGGGGCGGGGTGGGACACAGGCATTCCACACCGCCCCAGCCTCTCCGGGCTCTGGGCAGTGTGGGAAGGTGGAAAGGCGGTTCTGGCTGGAGCAAAGGCGGTGCCAGCAGCCAGGGGAAGGAAGACCCATCCTTGCAAGAATCTTCATACATCGGGCCTCTAGTTATAAATAATCCAGCAATCCCACTCTAGTTTATACATCTTTTTTTAAAACATATTTTTATTGATTTCAGAGAGGGAAGGAGAGGGAAAGAGATAGAAACATCAACGATGAGAGAGAATCATTGATCGGCTGCCTCCTACATGCCCCCCACTGGGGATTGAGCACACAACTCGGGCATGTGCCCTTCACTGGAATTGAACTGGGACCCTTCAGTCTGCCGGCTGACACTCTATCCACTGAAGCAAACCAGCTAGGGCTAGTTTATACATCTTTAGGAAATGAAGTCACTCCCTCTAAGAGATATCTGCATTCCCATGTTCATTATTCACAGTAGCCAAGATATGGAGACAACCTAACTGCCCATCAACAGATAAATGGGTAAAGATTATATATATATAATATATACATATATATATATATATAATTTACATATACATGTATACATATATAGCAGAGTATTATTCAGCCATGAGAAAGACAGACATCCTGCCATTTACAACAACAAGGATGGACCTAGAAGGTGTTAGGCTAAGTGAAATAAGTCAGAGAAAGACAAATACTGTATGATACCACTTATATTTGGAATTTAAAATGCCAAATTTGTAGAAACAGAGATCAGAATGTGGTTACCAGGGGCTAGGGCAGTGATGGCGAACCTTTTGAGCTTGGCGTGTCAGCGTTTTGAAAAACCCTAACTTAACTCTGGTGCTGTGTCACATATAGAAATTTTTTGATATTTGCAACCTTAGTAAAACAAAGATTTATATTTTTGATATTTATTTTTTATATTTAAATGCCATTTAACAAAGAAAAATCAACCAAAAAAATGAGTTCGCGTGTCACCTCTGACACGTGTGTCATAGGTTCGCCATCGCTGGGCTAGGGAGTCAGGGGAGAGGGGAGATGTTAGTCACAGGGTATAAACTTCCAGTTATAAAATGAACGAGTTCTAGAGTCTAATGTACACCATAGTGATTATAGTTAGCTAGAGGCCCGGTGTGCGAAACTCATACATGGGGGGGGGGGGGTGTCCCTCAGCCTGGCCTGCACCCTCTCCAATCTGGGACCCCTGCCGATCCCTGTGCAATCCGGGACCGCTGGCTCCTAACCACTCGCCTGCCTGCCTGCCTGATTGCTCCCTAACCGCTCCCCTGCCGGCCTGATTGACGCCTAACTGCCCTCCCCTGCCACAGCCCACCTCCTCCACCAGGCCCCGCTTCCACTGTGTGCGTGACCATCTTGTGATGGCCATCTTGTGACGACGTTAGGGCGTGATGCGTGAGAGCATGATGACCACCTAGGCTATTATTAGTATAGATAATATTTTACAGTTGATCCTTGGCCAATATGGATTTGAACATGGATTTGAAATTATAGATGAATTTTTCAATAAATACTTTAAATGTCTTTTTCTCTTCCTTATGATGTTCTTAATAACCTTTTCTTTTCTCTAGCTTACTTATTTAAGAATAATGCGTGCCCGGCTAGTGTGGCTCAGCAGTTGAACGTCAATCCAGGAACCAAGAGGTCTCTGGTTCGATTCCCTGTCAGGGCATGTGCCCGGGGTTGTGGCTCGATCCCTAGTGTGGGGTGTGCAGGAGGCAGCCGATTGATGATGTTCCTGTCTCATTGATGTTTCTATCTCTCTATCCCTCTCCCTTCCTCTCTTTCTAAAAATCAATAAAAAATATTTAAAGAATAACACATATAATCCATATAACATACAAAATATGTGTTAATCGATTATTTGTTATCAGTAAGGCTTCTGGTCAACAGTAGGCTATTAGTAGTTAAGTTTTGGAGGAATCAAAATTTATACACAGATTTTTTTACTCCACAGAGGGGGGGGATTCAGTGTCCCTAACCCCCACATTGTATTATATACGTAAAGGGGGAGAGCTGCAGACCAGGAGACAATATCTGCAGACCACACACCCGACAAAGGCCTGGTATGGGACTATATGAAGCGCTCTCAACTCAACAGTGAAACCAAACCATCCAATTAGGAAATGGGTAAAACACATGAACAAACATGTCACTGAAGAATACATACAGATGACAAATAAGCACATGAACATGTGTTCAATGTCATGAGTCATTAAGCCTTAATGATTAAGGAAATGCACGTTAACACCACAGGAAGAGACTGTTACACGTCTATCGGAAGGGCTAAAAGCAAATGATTGTGGCAACATAACATGTCGCAAGGGCAAGGCCGTGAAGTTGAATCACTCATACATTGTTGGGGGGAATGTAAAACATACATAAGTTACTATGTATATGAATGTTCAAAGCAGCTGTACTCATAATGGCCCAAACTAGAAACCCAAATGTCCTTCAACAGATGAAATGGTTAACTCACTGGTCCATCCACTCCACGGAGTACCAGTCAGTCACAGAAGGAGCAGGCTACCAGCCACTCCCAGCGGCGGAAACAGGTCAGTGGCTGCCGGGGGCCAGGGCTCGGGGGGCTGTGGCTGAATAGAGGGAGAGTCTGGTGGTGACAGACAGTTCTGCATCTTGATTGTGACAGTGATTACACAGATCTGCACATGAGCTTGCACACATCTGTGTGTGTGCATGTGTGTGTATACGTGCACGCGCGCATGCACGCACACGCACATACACACAAGCACATCGCACCGTCGCACCATCACCTTCCCTGCTGTGATGTCATTGTAGATAGCTGTGCAGGACGGCACCACTGGGGAACGGGGAAGGCTACCATGCAAGCTCTCTGGGTTTTTTGTTTGTTTTTTTATTTTATTTTTAAAATATGTTTTTATTGATTTCAGAGAAGAGGGGAGAGGGAAAGAGAGATAGAAACCTCATGGATCAGCTGGGGATCAAGCCAGCATGTGTCCTGACCCGGAATCAAACCGTGACCTCCTGGGTCAACCACTGAGCCACGCCGTTTGTTTTTTAAACAGCTTCCTGTGAATGTCACTATGAGCAGGTAACTGCAGAAGTTGGAGGCTAGCGGCCTTTCCGCCCTGACAGCTAGGACTCCCTGTGAGCCCAGGGCCTTTGTGCTGGGCTACGAACAAAGGAGGGACTGGGGCCCAGAGAGAGTCATGTTCTGGGTCCCCAGTGGCAGAGGCTCGGCCCAGGCGTCAGAACCCCCAGCGCAGTGTGTCCACGGCTCCTGGGGAGGAGGTGCAGGTGTGTGCTTGGTACCTGGGAGGAGCAGGGGCACCTGTGGACTGTGCTCAGGGAGGCAGGGACCTGGTCCGGGGCTACTGTGTTCAGACAATGTGATCCTCGCCCCCTCCCCCCCGCCGCCCCAGGCCAGGGAGGAGTGATGGGGACCACGGGAGAAAGCAGTCATGCTCAGGGCAGTGGGCTGAGGGGGGGCCTGACAGGCGAGGAGGGTGGTGAGGGTCTCGGGGAGCAGGTGCCAGCCCTCAGCCACCAGAGCAGTGTTCTCCGGGCCCCAACCGGAGCCAGAGCAGCCCAGCCAGGGCAAGCGGTGGGGGCTGGGGGACAGGAGGGAAGGCTGGGCCAGGTGCCTGGCTGACTGGCCTGGCACAAAAATGGGGCGTGGGCCGTTTGGCCAGGTTTAATGGGCTTGTTGTCCTTGCCCTGGCAGCCTGCTTTCAGATGTGGTCCCCGCACCTCCCATAACCAGGGTCCCAAGCCCCAGGGACGCGGTGCATTGCTGGGCTGACCCCAGCCCACAGCAGCCCTTTCCAGCTCCCCGCCTGCGGTGGGGCCTGCTCATCACGCAGGACCAGTCCTGGGGCAGGGCCCCCTCCCCGCGGGGAGCAGGGCTCCTCAGCTGCTTGTCCACACCAAGCTCTGGGAAGGCTCCTAAGGTCGGTGCCTTGGGGATTCCCAGCCTAGTACCCCACCTCTACTTCCACAGCTGGACAGCTGGCCCGCCATGCACTTCCCCTCCCACCTGGGCAGCAGCAGAGGTGGGGCTGGACCAGGGATACCCACAGGCCTGCGGGCGGGGCTGCCCAGGCTGTTCACTTGCTGTGTGACCGCAGGAAGAACACTGTCCCTCTCTGGGCCGCATGCAATGTTCCAGGAACTCTTGGACTTGCTCCCTGAGCTTTTCCCAATTCGGGAGCCCACGCCTGGGCAGCGGAGGGGGCGGGTCTGTGCTGTCGGCGGTGTGAACCCGTTTCCGGCCCCGCCCCCGGGTCGCACGTGACCTCAGGTGGTGGCGGGGTGGGCGGGGTGGCACTTAGTCACCCGTCTGCCGCCGCCGGTGCGCACCGCTCCGCTCCGCCCTCCCGGCTTTCTCGCCGGCTGCGCGACGCGCCCGAGGTCTCCCGGTAAGCGCGGTCCGGCCCGCACCCCGGGTCCCGGCCCCTTCCTCCCGAGCGGACGCCCAGCCTGCCGGCCGCGCCGCCCCCGGCCTCCTCCGGGCAGGCCCCTCGGGTTGCCCGTGCGGCGCGCGGGGTTCTGAGACCCCTGCCTTCCCGGAAGCCCTGCGAGCGCGGCGGCTCCGACCTGAGCCAGCGCCGTCGGGTTTCAGGCTCCTGTCCCCCCTCGGGAGACTTTGGGGAAGTTCCCCCGAAGTAGCCGAGGACTTCAGGCGGCGCCAGAAACCGGGAACGGGAGCCCCGTCCCGGCAGATTCGGGACCGGCCCTGCGCGCCCCGCCCTCAGCCCGCCCTGCCCCCCGGTGCCGCCCGCCCCGCTGACCGGCGCTCCCTGCTCTCTCCGCAGGCGCCTATGGGCAGAGGAGCAGACCGCCCCGAGGCCCCGCGCTGTCCCCGCCGCCCCGACTTAGGGTCCCGCCGCGCTGAGCGCCCCGCCTCCCGCGGCAGCAGCCTGCACAGGGCGCCATGGCCTTCTCCCAGGTGCAATGTCTGGACAACAGCCACGTCAACTGGCGCTCCAGCGAGTCCAAGCCCGAGTTCTTCTACATCGAACAGCAGCGCCTGGCGCTGGAGGCGCTGGTGGCCCGCGGCCCCGAGGCCTTCTACGAGGTGCTGAGCCGGGAGAACATCCGCGACTTCCTCTCGGAGCTGGAGCTGCGGCGCATCCTGGAGACCATCGAGGTGTACGACCCGGGCTCGCAGGACCCGCGGGACTCGGGCTGCCTCCCGGGGTCTGAGGACCATGGAGCGCGGGACCGGGAGGAGGCCAATGGGGCCCTCACGGAGGCGGAGCCCCCGCCCTCCCTGGAGTACTGGCCCCAGAAGTCAGACCGCTCCATCCCCCAGCTGGACCTGGGCTGGCCGGACACCATCGCCTACCGCGGCGTGACCCGGGCGAGCGTCTACATGCAGCCGCCCCTCGACGGGCAGGCCCACATCAAAGAGGTGGTGCGCAAGATGATCAGCCAGGCCCAGAAGGTGAGCCGCCCCCGGGGGACCAGCACCTCCCACCGGTGAACACTCCGCGTGGAGAGGCCATGGTCCCGCTTCCATGGGGTTTCCGGTTCTTGGCAGAGGGACCGGGCGCCTGTGTGCCCTGGCAGGTGGCAGCAGTGGGCTGCCGCACGTCATGGGCCGCTGTGCGTTGTTGGGGGTCGTTCTGACTTCCAGAGGCCTGGTGAGCGGGTCTCCCAGAAGGGGCTGCCGTGGGGTGGGGGGAGGAAGTATGTGCTTTCTCCCCTGTCCCTGGGGATGGCTCTGACTCAGCCCTGAGAGGTGCAGCTCTCACACACACCCTGAGTCTCGGATGCTGCTTTTGTCGGGTGGGGGAAGGAATCGTCCTGGAGACCAAGAAGTTGCCTGAGCCCATCTGAGGCTGGCCTGGAGGTCTGAGTTCAAATGTGCCTGTTTCCTGGGTGTGCTGGGCCACAGAGCCCTCGCTCCACCGCTCTGAGCTTCTCCATGAGCCTTGCAATGGCAGAACCCTTCAGGCGAGGGTGTGAGAGGCGGGATGGCCTGGTCTTCGGGTGGGAGCAGTGAGTGCAGCTGAGGGTTGTCCACCGGGTTGAATTTCTCCACTGGAAGGGACCTCACTGGGGGCCTCCCCTTGCAGACCCTGCCGAGCTGCGCAGGGGGTAGCCAGACTCAGTTGACACACTGACGCATATTCTGAGAAGAGGAGCTTACCACTCGCAGAGACAGCCAGGCCATTGCTGGACAGCATGACCTTGAGCGGATGCTCTCCCTGCGAGTGGAAGTGCCTTTTGCATGGTTCCAAAGCACATCCTGACGTGATTGGCACAGCCTGCCTGCCAGCTGTGTGAGGAGGATCCTGAGGCCAGGCCCTGGCTCGGCAGAGAGCAGTGAGTGACTGGGTTGTAGGCAGGTATTTCTAGTGGAATCTCACCCCTTCGTGGTTCCAGGCCCAGAGGGGGCAGCAAATGGCACAAGACCTGAACCTTGGCTGTGGAGGCCATTCCGGCTGCCAGACAGGCCTGGGGAGCTCTTCCGCAAAGAAACCAGAGTGGGTCAGGAGTTGAGGCGTAGCCGCGGCTTCGGCTTCCAGAAGCCGAGCGTCTGTCTCCGGGGGGGCTGGCTGGGGCCGATGGCCTGTGCCAGGGGCCGGCTCTCAGCCTGTCCAGGCAGCGCCGGGGCTTCGGGTCTCTGGTCTGTAAATGGAGATGGCGAGGATAAAAGCCGCGTCTCTGGCTGTTGTGAGGATAGAATTGGGTGATGGGCGTGAGGAAGAGTTGGAGGAAGAGGAAGAGAAGGGGGAGGAGGAAGGGGCCTTCATAGTTTTCAGCTCAAATAACCTGCCCCACACCTGCTGTGGGATAAGAAGTTGCTGCCAACGTGGCTGCCTGACTTGAGGTCATGAAACCCAGTTCCCTGGAGGGCCTGTTGGGACCCATTACCTAGCCTCCACCCCCTTTATACAATTGGGGAAACTGAGGCCAGGAAAACAACCTGCTCTGTCAGGGTTCTCCCTCCTCTTATCCCCTCCTCCCCACCAGGAGTGGGAAGGAGGCAGACACCGGATCCAGCTTGGCCTGGGAACAGCCAGCATCTAATCTCCCCCAGACAGAAAGACAGGCGGCCTGGCTCAGCGATGGGGCCAGATAGGGGCGCCTGGGGCGAGGCTGGGCACTCAGGGTGGCCTCCCCATGTCTCGATGGCTAGGGCTGAGACCCAGCCACTCCATTTAGTCCCGTGGGTCCTCCCATAACTTCATTTGTTCCCGGCAAAAGCCCCACGAGGTGACGGGTGTCACCTGTCTCAGGTGACATAACCAGGAAGAAGTCCATCTCGGGTTGAAACCCTGATCTGTTGGCACCACAGTCATGCTCTCCTGCAGCCCCCGACAGGTAGGCATTGCCCTAAAAATGGGGCTCCCTGCTGAGCCTGACGCCCTCTCAGGCAGCAGGGAACCTCGCGAGCCAACAAGAGGGATCTCAGAGGCAATAGAGGCCAAGCTCCTTGCCCTGCAGAGGGGCACGGGCGCAGAGAAGACGGCTGGTTCGCGCCCACAGCACCGGGCACACCAAGCTGCTGTCCAGCCCGTCTGCTTCCCTGTCACGTCCGTCCTGGCCCCCGAGGCCAGTGTGATGTGCGCGCAGCCATCTGTAAAAACAACAGCTGCTGTTTATCGAGCGCGAGGCACTTCATGATCTCAGGTAGTGGACTGCCCCATTTCTCAGATGTAGAAACTGAGGCCTGGCTGGCTAGTCCCTCCAAGGTCACCTAGCTAGTTCTTGGGTGGAGGGTGGGGACCAGGCCCGTGTTGTCCTCAGACCCGAGGACGGGTCGGTCCCCTGCCGTCCTGCCTGGCCCTGGCGGGGCAGGGTGGAGCGCTCAGAGCGCCTCCCATTTCCCCTGCCCCTGCTCTGGCTGCTTCCCAGCTCCCAGGGGCTGGGCCGTGACACTGACGGATGCTGACAAATGCTGAGCGAGCCCTTACCTGGCCGCCCGCCTGGGAGCTCTTCCTGCCGTCTCTCTTCCCATGAGTCACTTCTTTTCCCCTCTCCCCAAATTCTCTCATCCCTGGTACCAGTGCAGGGAGAACACCCCCCTTCCCAGGCCAAGAATGGGGATCCACTGTCCAGCCTCATGGCTGGAACACTGGACCCCTTCCCACTGGGCACTGGGCTGGGGCTGCTGGCACTGAGTCAGGGAAACCCAGCCCGCCACCTCCTCCGCCTGGGCTGTCGTCAGCATGACAGGCAGACCGTGGGCAGCCTGGGAGCCTGTTCCCACCAGGGCTACCCCTTCAGCACTGACACCTGCTGCCCTGATTCTACACTCCTCTGGGGAGCCTGGGGCCAGGCTGGGCGGGGATGGGTGGTCCTGGGCCTCAGAGGACCGCTGGCTGTGGCTGTGGCTCTGAGCGCTTGCTCTCTGGCATCTTCCGGCCCCACTGGGCTCCAGCTTTCCAAGGTGGGAGGTCATCTGCCCGCCCCCCGCCCCCAGGGGCCAGTGATTTGTCTGGAGAAACTGCTCTGGGGTTCAGCTGCCTGCCAGGGGCCGGCTACAGCCTCAGGGAGAAGGGGAGAGGCTGGGTGGCGGGAAGGTAGCGTGCACCCCCCCCCCCCACATGGGACCAGAGCCCCTAGTAGGGCCCCTTCACCAGCCTGGCAGCCTGCGGGGAGACCCCAGGGGCAGGGTGAGTCATACACCCTGAGGAAACTGAGGGAGAATGAGTGGCCAGGGCGAGCCTACATGCGATTCCACGCCAGCCAGGCAGGGCGCGGGAACAGAGACCCAGAGAAGTTGTTTCTTGCCGAGTGCCACCAGCAGGAAGGGGCAGGAACCAGGTCGCGCGATGCCTGACCAAGCCCACGTCTTTTCTCTCCGGCCCCGCCATCACACACTGGAGTTCTGACTGGTGGTTGCCTCCAGGAGAATGAAAGCACTTTAATGAGGCATTTATTAAACACCAGGTGTATGCCAGGTGCTATCATCCTCCCAGCAACTCCATAAACTAGGGGTGCAGATGAGGAAGCAGGCCTGGTAGGGCTGACCTCTCCAAGCTTGTCGGAGGTCACAGAGCTGACACCGAGGGGCTGGGCGCAGAACCCAGGTCGCAGGCTCGGACCCTTTCCCGGGAGCAGCAGCGTCTTGGCTGTCCCTGCGGAGCCAGCCCTGGAGCAGTGCAGCCTTGCGGCTCCCCAGCGCACTCGGGACCGGAAAAGTACTGCCTCTGGCTCCCTGTCCCCACATGTCCCACACACGGCTCTCCGAGAGGGGCTGGCGAGGACAGGGTGACCGGGAGCCAAGGCGGGTCCCTGCGGACCAGAGGGAGAGCTCTCCCTGTCCCTGAGCTGGGCAGCGCCCCAGAGGCCCCGGGGCCAGCAGCAATCCCCAGGGCACAGCAGGTCCAGGGAGCTGCCTCCTGGCAATCCCCAGCCCCGGGCCCACGGCCCTCCCCTGCAGGCGGGGAGCCAGCTGATAACACAGTCCCAGTGGCCTTTGCATCTTGAGAGTTTGGGGAGAGCCAGGAGGGCTCTGCCAGGAAGGAGGGCGGCCCCTCGGTGCACACCTGGCTCCTGCGGGCAGGCAGCCTCAGACCTGCAGGCCCTGCCCTCCCTCGACCCTGGGGGGTGGGGCCTGGCGTCATCGTCCTGTGGCAGATGAGGATCGGAGGCTGCGAGCAGGCCGGGGCCTGCCGCCCTCGCACCAGCCTCCTTGGCCTGCTCTGGGCTCCACAGAACCCCGCTCGCCCTGGTTTGACAGGCTCACCCTGAAGCCGAGGCTCCGCCCCTGGGCCAGCAGAGAGGGGCTGGTCTTCTCAGAGGCCCCTGGCTCACCTGCCCAGCTCAGCCACGTCCTGGCTACATGACCTGGGGCCTCAGTTTCTTCAGCTCGTACCGTGGGAATCGGGCACTTGTCCTGAGGCAGTGACAGCCGTGAGTGCCCACAGGCTGCTGAGTGCAGGGCGCAGCCAGCAGGCCTGGCCTGGGTGGCTGGGCCAACCTCCTGTGTGGGGTCCCAGTGACCCCAGGCTCAGGCACCTTCCCAGGTTAGTTGCCGCTTGAGCAGTGGGAAGGCCCGCTGCCCCGCAGACCCAGCGCGAGCCCAGCGCAGCTGTTAGCCGTGCCCGAGACAGCCCCTCTGCCTCCGACCCCCACTCCTGCCCCTTCGGTGCCATGGCGATGGCGGCGCCCGCCTCAGAGTTGTGGCGGGATTGAATGGAAAAGGGATGTAAAGCGCTTGGTGTGGTATCTGGCATGGAGCTGGCATCCTCCCGCATCCTCCTCCCGCCTGCCCTCTGCCTTCCTCCTCACCCCTCTCCTGACAGCCCCTCTCTGGGAGAAGCGGCTGAGAAGTGGCGAGCTCCCCATCCTGCAGGGGTTCAGGCCGGGGCTTGGGGGGGCGCAGCAGAGGGTGTGGCTCGCCGGCGGCCTGGGCAAGTCTCTAATAGGCCAGTCTTCTGGGGGCTTAGGATGCTCGCTGGGACTCGGGGGAAGCTAAGGCTTAAAGGCTTTTGGATTTATGACTCTGAGATTTCCCAGTTTGAAAACCCTCCGTTTATGCCAGTCACTGACAACTGTGGGCGGTCTGCTGGGCTGGGTCCTGCACCCGCAGGCCGGGAAGCTTGGAGGGTGTGGGCACCTGGAGCTGGTGGAAGCGGGAGCAGCCTGTCCTCCTGTCCGGTCCACAGGGCACAGCCTGGCCCCCGATGGCCTTCCCCGGGCTCTGCCAGCGCAGTCCTGAGCCCGGTGAGGAGCTGGTGTGTCTGTGGGGAAGGCTGGAGCCCCAGGGCAGGCCTCCTGGTCAGAGGGCTCTGGGCGGGACCAGTATGGCTTCTTGGCCTCATCCTGCTTCGGCCCTTTGGTGCTCAGGAGGCCCGGGCCTTCTTTAGTTGTTCCTAGTGAGGCTTCTGTCTTCATCTTCCAGAAACGGGGGAGGTGCCAGAGCTGGTGAATGTTGGAGGCGAGAGGCCCCGAGGCATTGCCCTCTGGGCGGCTCAAGGTCAGGGGTTTATTTCGGGACCCAAGGTGGCTCTGGGAGGCGGTGGGTGGCGTCACAACTGGAATCCACACAGGACGCCCCTAGAGAGGCTGGCAGCGACTCCCCTGCCCCTCTGTCGGGTACCAGTGTCAGAGGCGGCCTGGCCTGGCTCAGCATCTGTTACTACAATCAAGACGTGCTCCCTGCCTGCCGGGGGGATAGGACTAAACTCGGTGCCAGACCTTTAGAGCCAGAGGATGTGCAGACTGGTTTGGGGAGCACCAGGCGTGGGGGCTCCCCACAGGGGGCCAGCGGCTCCCAGAAAGCATCCTCCGTGCTTGGAGAACCTTCCTGGCCTTTCAGACAGCGTCTCCTTTATCCCGCAGGCACCAGGGGAGGAGAGCAGGTCACGCCCGGGTCTGCCCCCGCCCCCTGCTGGAGGCGGTCGGTCGGGCAGGACAGCAGCAGCTCCTGTCTGTCTCAGATCCCATGCGAGTGGGCCCTCCGTCTGCACCCTGTGCAGATCTGATCTGCGGAGAGGACAAAGGTCCTCGCTTCACCTTCGGTTTGGAAGCTACTTTTACCGGGCGTGGCATCCAGGCTAACAGTTTCCCATTTGGGACCTTGGAGGTGCTGCCCGGTGTCCTCTGCTTGCGTCAGTTCTGGGAGAAACCTGCTTGCCTTGTTCCTGTTGTGTAATGGTCCTGCCCCCTCGGCTGTTTTTAAGATTGTCTCCTTGTCACTGGCTTTAAGTGATGTGGTTATGATATGCCTTGATATGCCTCTTCTGCTTGGAATTCACTGAACTTCCTAAAGGTGTGAATGCATAGTTCTCATCAAGGTGGAAAGTTATGGCCATTATTTTTCAGTGTCTTTCTGTCTCGCCCCCCACCCCACCCTCTGCCTGGGCACCTCTGGGACTTCAGTTACGCCCACAGCTCACTGAAGCCCTGACCCCGTTTTTCCATCTCCTTCTCTGTGTGTCATTTTGGATAGTTTTATTGACATGTCTTCAAGTTCACTGTCTTTTCTCTATAGTGTCTAATCTGCTCTTAATCCCATCCCATGTATTTTTCATCTTAAATATTGAACTGTTTCATCTCTTGAGGTTCAATTTGGTGTTTTTAAACTATCTTCCCTGTCTGTAAGTAACTTTTTAACATATAGAATACTGTTTGTTATCAGTGTTTTCCTGTCCGTAGCTGCCAGTTCTAACATCTGTATCCATTCTGGGGTAGTTTTGATAGATTTTTTTTTTCCTCACAAGGATCATTTTCCTGTTTATTTCTGTGTCTGGTAATTTCTTATTGGATAGCAATTTTTTGCTGTGGGGGGCTGAAGTTTGATTTTTTTGCTTTAAGTATCTTGGAGCTTCGTTCTGGGATGCAGTGAAGTTGCTTGGAGACAGTTCAGTGCTTTTGAGGCTGGCTGCTAAGCTGTCCTGGGTGGAACCAGCAGGGTTAGTCCAGGGTAGGAGTTGGATCAAGCCTGGCCTCCCGCCTGATTTTATAAATATGGGAGCACAGACAGACACATTTGCTCCGTGCGGCCCTCAGGTACTACCAGCAGAGCTGAGTGGTTGTGTCAGAGACCACGTGACGGTAGAGGCTGAAATATTTGCTGTCTGGCCTTTACAGAGGCTCTAGGGCTCGCGTGCCCACTCCTCAGGCAGCAGGACCCTTTGGGGACTGCCCTGCAGACCCTGCGTGTTAGGGGTCAACACCCTGGCTGAGGGGACGCGAACGGTCCCTGGTCCGTGTGAATCGGCAGGGGACGGTTCCTGCCCGGCCACCTGGAGGGCCGTGGGGCTGGAGGAATAGTCTCAGGTTGCTGTGACGAGGAGGAGGCAGGAAGCGGCTGTGCACTGGCACCGTTCACTGCACCTCCGGCCGCCGCGGAGGGTGGCCTTGTCCTCCTTATGCGGGAACCAAGGCACTTGCCTGAGGTCGCGTATCTTCCCAGAAGGACAGTCTAGAGCCCATGCTGCCGCCCAGGAAGGGCACAGGGAGTCGGGAATGCCCTGGCAGGGATGGCCTTGGGTGGCACATCAACCTTCCCCATTTTATAGATGAGGAGACAGACCAGAGAGGGACACGGCGCACCCAATGCCATACCAGGGCCAAGCCCGGAGCTCCAGCCCTGGTCCTGCCCTGCCCTTGCCCGGGCGCTCAGACTGCTAGTAGGGGCCCGGGAGGAGGGGGCGCACTCCAGTGCCCTGTGCCATGCCATCAGTCCATCAGGGCCAGCACAGGTGTCACAGACCCTAGGCCTTGGCTATTGGGGCGGTGGCCTCAGGTGGTGGGTCCCTGTAACCACCTGGGTGATGGAGGTGCCTGTGGTGGGCACCGGGGCCTGGGCCAGGTACCATGTCCACCCCCTACTGGCTTGAGGTGGGCCTGGGGGTCCCCTCCCCTCTGGCCACAGTGTCAGCATGTCTCTAGTGGAGGTGGATGGTCACCCACCCCAAGGGCATTTCGGGGACTCTGAAACCGACAGCAGATTGATGGGGTCATTAGAGGAGACCGGGGAGCAGTCCCAGCCAGGTGGAAAGTGGTGGGGGATTCGGACCCGGGAGGCAGGAGGCAGGAGGCAGCTCTGTTGGATGCGGCAGGGGAAAGGGAGGCGTGGAGCTGCCGGAGGAGCACACTTTGGGGGCTTGCCCACAATGCAGCCCCCCCAGACGTGGGGAGGGATTTGGGTACAAGACGCACTCAAGCCCAGCACTGATCCAGTCCCTGCCCATGTCCCCCTCCACTCCAGTCCTGGCACAGCCACCCCCCCCACCAAGACATCAGCCCCCACCCTGCTGCGCTCTGGGGCTGGGAACTGGTGGTCTTCGTGGTGTTGGGCCCCTCCCTGCTCTGTGACTGCGTCTTTCCTGTCAGGAAGACCCGGGGACCCCGGGCTCCCTCCCTCCCTCCGGCATCGGCCTGTGCAGTTTGCAGGGTGTCCACGGCGCCTCGCGTATGGAACACACATGTGCCTGCCCCCCCCCCCCCCCCCCGCCCAGTGCTCACGGGGACACAGCCAGTTCACAGACACCTGCCCCTCGCGATGCGCGGTCTCCTGACAGACCTCAGGCAGTGGCGCCTCCAGACTCCACCTCCCCTCTGTCTTGGAGGCTTTGGCCTGGCCTCGCCCAGGGCCTCGTGGGGCTGGGGCTGGGGCTACAGGAGCGGCCGGCGTTCCCCTCGAGGCAGGACCAGCAGCTTTGTGCTCAAGCCTTGGTGTGTGAGCTGGAGAGACCGAGAGCCAGGCCCGCACCCCACTGGTGGGTGGCAGACAGGGCTCGGGAGGGGCTGGGCTTGTCCCTGGCTACCCTCATTCCTGCAACCCAAGCCATGAGCTCCCATTCTCAGTTGACAATAGCTCCCGGAGGGCCCTAGTCCACGCCCCAAGCTGGGCCCAGCCAGGGGCTCTGCCCTCAATGAGCTCACACTGTCGCAGGCAGTCTGGGCCTCCCAGAGAGAGAACCAGGCAAGGGACGCACCCCTTTGTGCCTCAGTTTCCTCATCTGTAAGATAGGAATTGCTGCAGCCACAGCCGAGGCTGGGACTGAACAGGGGCACTGTCAGCCCTTGGCACAGGGTCTGGAGGTAGCTGTGCTCCCTCGGGGAGAAGGGCCCTGGGGGGCCCTGGGTGCTAGCTGAGTCTCTTGCCCCAGCTTTCCCATGTGCAGGACTCGGGCTGCCAGAGAGCCCAGGGGCTGACTCAGCAAGCGGCACTGCGCCCACCAGGCTGGCAGCCACCCTGAGGCAGTGGCTTGTCCACATCGCCCTGGCCTTTCCCTGCGCCTCTCTCTCCTCAGGCCTTGGGCGTGTCACTGACCACGTTGGACTATGGCTGGGCTGGGGTGGGGGAGGTGCACCTTGACCTCTGGGGCTCTACCCTGAGTCAGGGCCAGGAGGTGGAGGTCAGCTGTGTGGGCAGAGGTCATCAGAGGACAGGAAGAGCCCCGTGCTGGTGTGGGCGGTGAGGGAGCCTGCCAGACCTCAACCCCCGCTGGGCTGCGGGGCGACCTCGGTGAGCCTGTGCCAGCTGCTGCCCTGCCTCCTGGCTGTTGACGCCTGGGGTTCATCTCAGCACCTGGGGTGGCAGGTGGAGGGCAGTGGTGTGACCTGCAACCCCGGATCAGACTGTAACAGGCCCGGGGATCCCTGGCAACCGCAAGGAAGGAGGCCTCAGGACGCAGCTCCTTTCTGACTGCAAGGCCTCTGGGAGCTGACCCCTCCTGCTCCTTGTGCAGCGCACGCCTCCCTCACCTCCCACCCCCGCTGGTTACTGAGCTCGGGGTCCACGTAGGGAGGCAGCAGGCATGTTGAGTGGACGTCTCCTCTCCTCCCTGCGGTCTCGGAGTCCAGTCTGTGCCACCGATTGAGATACTGAGCCTAGATTTTCGGGGCCAGCTCGTCACGTCCCAGTCCCAGTCCTGAGGTGTGGGGAGCAGAGCTGGAGTGGCGCCCAGAGAGGTGGCAGGCATGGGCGGGTTGTTTGTCCTGCCTGACAGCCGTCTCTCCTGTCCCAGGTGGTGGCCGTGGTCATGGACATGTTCACCGACGTGGACATCTTTAAGGACCTGCTGGACGCCGGCTTCAAAAGGAAGGTGGCCGTGTACATCATCCTGGACGAGAGCAACGTCAAGTACTTCCTGCACATGTGCGAGCGGGCCCACATGCACCTGGGCCACCTCAAGGTGAGCTGGCTGGTCACGAATGACCGACTCGTCGCTCAGCAGACACTGCACCTGCTTTCTGTGGACGGGGCTGTGCCGGCACGGAGTTCGGCAACCCTGAGCCTCCTGCCGGGTCGCCTGGCCTCTGCTGCGGGCCGAGGGGCAGGGCGCTAACTACCTCCAACAGGCAGAGATCCGGCAGACATTGACGACGGGCCCGCTGGCCAGGTGCCAGAGCCACACAAGGGCCACCCCTCGTGGTTTTTCTTAGTAGCCCGTGCCCCGCTGGTGACCTGTCTGCTTACACGCCTCCGGTGACGCGTGCTCAGACCCCGACCCCAGCAGCTCACGCCTCATCTGAGATCTGACTCCCAGAGGCTTCCTGAGTGTGAGCCACGCTGGCTCTGTCACGTCCACCACGGGCTTTGGGATCTGGCTCTGACGGGAGGCTCCGGGCGAGGTCAGGGAAGGCCTCCGTAGCTGCGGAGTTAGAGTGGACTTGAGGAAGGAGAGCAGCGTGGAAAGGGCCTGAGAGGGGGACGCCGTCGGGCAGAGAAGAGGGTCGTGGTGGGCCTGGGTTCTGAGCGCGGCTTGCTGTGTGTCCGTGAGCACGTTACCTCCCCGCGGGGCCCAGGATCGCACTGGCCCCACGGAGCGGGGTGTGGGCCAGTGTGGCTGGCCTCTTCCGCACGGACACCTGGCATTTGGTACTCTGCCCTCCTCCCACCCTGACACCACTTGGCACCTACTGTGTGCAGCACACTCCCCAGAGAGTACAGATCAGCCCGTCGATCCCATTTTACAGATGAGGAAATGGAGGCGCTTGCCTGGGTGTCACTCATGGCTAGAAAGTTAGAGAAGAGGGGGCAGCACCAGAGCCCTCGGTTGAGAACAGCCTCCGGGGGGTCAGGAGTCCTCGGGCTTTAGGCCCGCGATCTGAACAGACTCCCAGGAGGAGGGGAGGCGTCAGGCTGGGTCACAGGGGACATGCACCCATCCTGTAATTTGTCGGCCTTTGTCAGGTCTGCCCCCGATCCCATGAGCCTTTTCAAGTGGCTGTGAGCCCTCCCGGGCGAGGCTGCAGCTGCGGGGACGTTTTCATGTGGGCTCTTTAGTGGGTTGACCCCAAGCCCCACGCTCACTCGCCACACTCCCTGCCGTGTAATTAGCACTGAGGGTCGGGTCCGGGGCAGACAGCTCACACTGGCGAGTCCAGGGCGTGGAACAGGCGTCTCTGAGAGGCGCTGTAGAGGCCCTGGCCCTGTGGCCAGCAGATCTGAGACCCTCGGGGCTCGCTACCCAGCCCCTCCCCCGACAGGCCCCCACGCCGGGCCCCTCCACGAGCAGTGGGTGCTCCACACAGCTGCCTCCCCCAGCCCGTGCATTCCCAGGTGTGGATGAGGCCGGAGCACTTGTCTGTGCTGAGCGGGGACCCAGACCTGGGGCTGGTGGCCCCAGAGGCCTCGCCCCATCCAGCGCCCACGCCTCTTCTCAGGGACACCCCACTCTCCGGTCTCCTCGGAGTATCTGAAGTGTCTGAGCTCCCGGGCGTGGGAGGCGAGGGGGGCTGGGCTGAGAACACGCCCGCGGGGTGCACAGCTCCCACCCACCGGTCCCGTCCTTCGCTCCCCAGTGCAGTGGGGCCTTAGGATCCGCTGCAGCCCCACGGCCTTGTGGGGCCTGGAGTGCGTGAGCCAGAGGGGCCTCGAGGCCGTCTATGCTAGGCTCCCACAGGACAGATGGGGAAACTGAGGCCTGTATTCCTGCAAGTTGGGCTGAACCTAAAAGCCAGTAGTGAGAACTCAGCCTGGACAGGAGGGAGCACAGACCCTTGGTCCCTGCCAGAGCGGCCTCCTTGGGACATGGTTCCACCTCCCCGAGCCCCAGCGCCTCACGATTGTGATGGCGCCTCATAGCGTTGTTTGAGGATGAAATCAGGGCTGTAAGTGCTCTGTGAGTGGGGTGGAGGGGGGCGCTGTGCAGGACTGGCAGTCACAGGACATCGTCAACCACAGGCCTCCACCCCCGCCCGGCTTGAAAACGAAGCTACAGCTGGGGCGCAGCAGCGACAGCTCGCCCTGGGTCCTGGGCCTGCCCACCCCCTCACCACCGCCTGGCACTAGGGAAGGTGGCAGGGTCTGCAGGGTGCTGTGCTCAGAGCTGGGTGCCTTCATGGGAAGGAATGGGGGACGTTGGCCTCTGAGCCGACGTCTACAGCCTGGGCGGGCGGCTAGAGGCTCCGTGGGCCCAGCCCCGGCCAAGTGTCACCTTGTCTAGGGCCTGCCCACACGGCCCACCTCCCTGCCCGCGGGCTGGCTGGGCCCGGACCTGTCTTGGGAGCACTTCCTTTGCCAGTAATCCCAGGCTCGCCCTCGGCCGCCCGCCGTCCTGGGCCGGCTACGCTTCGACCTGCCCCAGATCCTCCAGGCCCAGGGCACAGGAGGCGCGTGGCGGGTCATCCTGGTGACCGTGGCCCTGTCGGGTGCCGTCTGGGGGAACCAGGCCTGAGCCCCAGCTCTGCCACCTGCCCTGAAACCGTGGGCAGAGACACTGAATCTCTCTGGACGTCAGTCTCATTGTCCGAGAAATGGGAATATGGCCGTGTCCTTGGCGGGGCTGCTGTGAAGAGGAAGGAGGCCGCGTGGGCAGGACACGCAGTCTGCCTTTGGTTGGGGACAGGCACCGCGCCTCCCAGGACACTCAGCTCAGGCCTGAGAGCCAAGGGGCTCCCTTCCCCTCGGAGCCATCGTGGGCTGGGACCACCTCACGCGCCTGCTCCAGGCAGCGCTCCCCGGCGCTCCCCACCTGCCTCCTGAGCTTCGAGCCCCGCCAGCACATTCTAGAAACGGTTGTTCTCCTGGTTTCCAGGTGCAGTAGGAGGACGTACACTAGCACCTCCCCACATATGAGGGTCTCAGCCTTCCCCGGCCCTGGCCCCTGACGGCCCCCCAGGTGGAGAGTGTGGGAATGACGCCCCAGATGACAAATGGGCAACAGGCCTTCCAAAGAAGACCCAGCCCTCCCCACTCCCAGGGCCAGGCCATGTGGCCAAACCACTTTTGGGGGTGAGACTGGGTGCCAAGGGGTGTCCCAGGGCGAGTGGGAGCCAGGCTGGGCCTCGAGACTCAGAGCTGGGGACGGGGGCTGTGAGGTGCCTGGCTGATCTGAAAGCTGTCGGCTGTGCGCAGCCAGACGGGAAAAACCAGTCGCCGCCCGGGCAAAGGCTGGACCCATTTCTGATGAACAAAGACATCCCAGCCACGGAGGCTGTGGGAAGGTGCTCGGTCGGATGAGCAGCGCAGGTTCCACTGGTGCCCGCTCCCTCCCTCCCGCCTCGCTGCTCGGACCCTGGCCTGGGTCTGTGATGGATTCAGGGTGTGTAACGTATTCGGTGCTTCTCAGACAGAGGGGTTTGCCTGGCGTGGGACATTGGCAGTGCCTGGAGCCAGCGTAATGTTCACGGCTGGAGCACGGCTGGCGCCTGGCGGTAGAGGCATGGCATTGTTCAGTGCCCTGCGATGCCAGGACAGCCCCACAACAGAGAATCCCCTGCCCAGAGTGTCCGCAGCCGAGCTGAGCAGCCGGCCGAGGGGAGGAGCTGGGCTGGCCCGGCACTGCCCGCTCCCCATCCCCAACGGTGGTGCACAAAGGTGCTCCATCCCGGGTCAGACGGCCAGGGTGTGCCCTGCCCTTCCCCTTCCCCTCCCCGCCCCCCCATTGCAGAGTGAAACAGACCCTTTAGAAGAGAGTGGAGGCCCGCAGGGAGGCCCAGTGGCTGAGCGTGGCCCGTGAACCAGGAGGTCATGGTCAGGGCACGTGTCCAGGTTTGGGGCTCTGTCCCCAGTAGGGGGCGTGCAAGAGGCAGCTGGTGTTTTTATCTCCCCATGCCTCTCCCTTCCTCTCTCTAAAAGTCAATAACATATAATTTTAAAAAAGAAGAGCGTGGATGCTGGCCAGGCACCCAGCACATGGGGACACGCCCTCCTCTGCTCCACACATCTGGCCTAATTGCTGCCACTGGCCAGGCCTGGTCACTGCACTCCCGTGGGCCTCCCCACGCGTCCTCAGGCCCAGGAGATGCCAGCAGCCCCTTCCCCCTGTGGGCGGAAGTCCCCACGGCACAGCTGGGGGCTGTCCTCCGTCCAGGGTGGATGCCACTGGAGTGCTGTGGTGAGTCCCTCTGAGCCGCCTGGCCGTCACGGACAGCTGACAGTGCTGGCTTCCCCGGGCCCGCGTCCATGTCGTTCCAGATACTTTCGGCTCCGTGGTGTTGGTCCCCACCTGTCCCGCCCCCTCCGCTCCGTGGGAGGGTCACACCCAGGCAGGCGCAGGCACAGCCACCTGTCACCGTGCACGTGCGGGGCTCCCACGGAGCGCCAGGCCCCTTCCGGCCCCGCCTGCGTGCCTGTGGCTTCATTCAGGCCTCACAGCAGCCCTGCAGCATCAGGGTGGGGAGGCCCATCTCACAGATGAGAAGACTGAGGTGTGGAGATGCCAACTCTGGTTGGAGCCAGGACTGGAGCCTGTTTGACCGGAGCTGAAGAATACCCCAGACCCACCCTGCTTGAGGGGCCTGGGCTGGTCCCCTCTGCCTCCCACAGCCCGGGCCTGGTCTCGGGCGGACTTGGTACCCGGTCAAGTCCCATCTCGGTATGAGAACAGGGGTCACAGTGGGCTGTGGGGCAGGGTTTGCCCCATCGCTAGCGCCCACCCCACCCTGCCCCACACATGCTTGGGGCAGAGCTCCCTGGGGACAGGTGCTGTGCGCCCGGCCACCCTCCCTGACATCCCCTCAGGGACCCATCGCTGCCCGCTTTCGGGTCGGAGGACACAGGCTCCCAGAGTCCGAGGACTTGCCCGGGGCACCCGCTCGGGCCAGCCCAGTGGCCCCCCTGGCCTCCCCTTGGCCTCCATGTCCTCGGCAGGGATGTCATGGCTCAGAGACAATGCAGCTTTGTGGGAGCCTCCGCTGCTCCCCCAAGCCCTGACTCCTGAGACATTACCTCATGTGGGCCAGGCCCCATGGGGTGGGCCCGCCCAGGAAGCAGGCCTGGGAGCTGATATGAGGCCGGGGAGGGGGAGTGGCCGCTGCCACGAGGCCCCGCCTGCCACTGAGCCCCAGGCTAATGGGCCTCAGATGCGAGGCCTGTCCCCAGCATGCAGGCAGGGAAACCAAGGCCCAGAGAGGGCCAGAGACCTGATTAGAGTCACACAGCAAATCTGGTGCCTCTCCCACGGAGCCGAGCCGCTCGGAGATGCAGGCGCTGAGCCGAGCCCTCCATCCACACAAGGTGGGGTGGGTGGGGCAGACGCTGTGAGGGGCATCCAAGCAGTGGCTGGCCTTCCTGGGAGGAGGGGTGAGGCCCTGGCGCGCAGAGCGCTGGGCCCGGAGCCCACAGGAGCCGTGGAGCTGGCTGTGGTTGGGCACAGGTGACAAGGGAGGCCTTGTACCGCCTCCAGGATCTTTGCTCCCGATTTCTGGTCCTGAGCGTGCCCTGTGTTGGGTACAAAGTCACAAGCGCTAATTGTCCTGGGCTGCGGCCAGCTTCCGGCTGAGCTGGCTGCCTGCGATGGGCGGCCTGGGGCAGAGGGAGCAGGCCCTGGGCACGGGACTTATCTGCCTTCTGGGTTGGGCCCAACAACAAGACGGCTGTGCGTGCCTGGCCAGGTGGGCGTCCCCGGGGCCTGCCCCTCGACCCAAGCAGAGGGGTCTGAGACGAGTCCCACCCAGAGGCCGTGGGCGGGGCCGAGGGCAAACTCCAGGCTCAGACCCATCCCTTCTCTGTTGCCCTTGCCCCGACACAGGCCCGCCTCCCCTGCCCACAGCCCCTCCTTGCCCTCGGCCTCCGGCTCTCCGTTCATGCCATGCGGCCTCTGCTGGGTGCCAGCTCCAACCTCGCGACTCCCGCAGGCGGAGTCGGGCGCTTTGGCACGTGTAGGGCCTGCCACCAGCACCGGCCGAGCCCACTCGCAGGCTCCAGTGCCCACCGCCGCCCCTGAAGTCCTCGTGTGTCTTAAACAGACTCGTCACCAGCCCGTGCTCCTGTCTGGAATGCCAGCCCTGCCCCTGCCCTTCTTCCCACCCTTCACACGCCAGCCTGCAGCCCCTCACAGCTCGAGTTCTGCCCTGCCCTGCCCTGCCCTGCGGGGTCCTTGTCACAGTCTGTTCTGTTGGCAGCTGGGACCTTGGCGGGGGTTGGTGAGTGCCAACGGTGGGCAGTCACTGAGCTGAGGCCAGTGCAGGGGTGAGAGTGACAGGAGTCGCAGGAGGTATGACAGCCCAGCGCCCGCAGCTGGCACGGAGCCCCTCAGGAGGGACCTGCCTGGGCGGGTGTTGGACTCACTAGGGCTTGTGTGAACTAGGAAATTCCCAGCCTGACCACAGCCTCCTGCGTCAACGCTCCGGGGACCCAGGCCGGTGTCTCCAACACGCCACCCTGGGGTGCTTGCCCAGAGGAGCCCAGGTCTCCCTCCAGGCGCCCCCAGCCCTTCCCTCAACTCTAGTTCTCAGCTGGCTCATCTGCCCTCCTGGGTCTGCCAGGCCCACCACTGGCTTTTCACAGCTGCCCCCTCAGATAGAGCTGCCTCCGCGGGGAGGAGAGGAGCCCTAGTGGGCGTGCAGTGCCCAGGGGTCTGAGCCGGTCACACACCCAGAGGCCGTGGGCGGAGCCACAGACTCCACGGGGAGGGGCCTTCATGGCCAGAGTCCAGAGATGGGCAGGATGGCCTGGTCGTGGACTTGGGCAGGAGGCACTGCTCGTGACTCCTGGGGACCCTTCTCCTTCGTCTGGGTCTCCCCTGCCCCCCACCCCCACTGTCTCTCAGGGCCTCTGGCTTGCTCCTGAGCCAGACAGAGCCGGCCGGTGAGGAGTGGGATGAGCCATGTGCAGAGCTGCTCCTGGGTACGGCAGTGCGCCCTGGGTGAGCGGGCATCAGGGCAACTGAGACAGCATGTGGGAGAGGCCGCCCGCCACCCGGCCTGGGGAGGCCACAGCTCGGCCGAGCGCCAGAGCCAGACCCCATAGGGCAGGTCCCCGCCGCCCGCCGCCATGGGGACCTTCCTAAAGTGTGCCCACATCTCCTCTCCAGACCCCGCATTGGCCCCGCCCCCACCGGAGCAGCATTCGCCACCACGCCGGCTGCAGGTCTGCAGGTCGTGTCCTGCCTGGGCGTGCTCTCTGACACCTTCAGGCCGTGCCCCACCCTCCTGCCCCACTCACATCCCCGCGCTTCCCGCCCTGGCTCCACGCTGCAGTCCCACACCAGCTCCTTTCCCCGCCTCAGCCTCCCCGTCCCAGCTCCCCCACAGCCCCTGAAGCCCAGGCAGGGATTGCTGGGCCTCCCTCCGCGTGGTCAGTGCTGTGGTCATGTCATTTTGTCTCCTGTCCCCCCAGAATCTCAGGGTGCGGAGCAGCGGGGGAACGGAGTTCTTCACAAGGTCAGCTACCAAGTTCAAGGGCGCCCTGGCCCAGAAGTTCATGTTCGTGGATGGAGACCGGGCCGTCTGTGGCTCCTACAGGTGACTTCTGGCTTTCTGGGGTGGGGAAGAGGTGGCTCTGGGTCCCAGCTAGTTTCTGCCCTTAATCCTGCCTTGTGACACCTTGGTTATTCCGGTTCATTGGCCCCAAACTGCTGAGGTGTGAGCTGGGCTGGGGCGCGCCCGCACACCACCCAGCTCTCCAGAAGAGGCAGAGGAGGGCTTTTGTCTGAGACTTGCTCCAGCCTAAAGGTGTCACCAGCCTGGAGGTGGGGAGTGTGGCCAAGATGGGACATCCGTGGCCCCGCTCTGCAAGCCCCACCAGCAGGGGCAGCAGGGTGGCGCGGTCCAGGGCTGCTCCGGGCACCGGGAGTGGCGTTTGGGGTGCTGTAGCCCCAGAGGAGCGCAGGTGGGAGAGGGCTTGGTGGCAGTGACTTGCGCGGGGACCCAGGTCAGGTCTGACCCCGAGGCTGTGCCCCGTCCTCTGTCCCCTCACTTATCAGTCCTGCCCAGGGCCCCTTGGCCTGTGGGGTGCCTGGGGGCGCGGACGCCCACGTGGGGGCTCGGGCCTGGGGGAGCGGCCCCGTGCTGACCGGCAGCCGTCCCTGTGTTGCAGCTTCACCTGGTCGGCCGCCCGGACGGACCGCAACGTCATCTCCGTGCTGTCGGGCCAAGTGGTGGAGACGTTCGACCGGCAGTTCCAAGAGCTGTACCTGACCTCGCACGGCGTCAGCCTCAAGGGCATCCCCATGGAGAAGGAGCCTGAACCCGAGCCCATCGTGCTGCCCGCCGTGGTCCCCCTGGCGCCCTCCGGCGCCGTGGCCAAGAAGCTCGTCAACCCTAAGTACGCGCTGGTCAAGGCCAAGAGCGCCGAGGAGATCGCCAAGGTCTCCTCGGAGAAGCAGGAGGGCCAGAGGCCCCCGGGGCTGCGCGGCCCAGGGCTGGCCGAGCAGCCGGGGGACCCCCCGGAGCCGCCCCTGCCCGTGCACCCGGGGCTGCTCCACCTGGAGCGGGCCAACATGTTCGAATACCTGCCCACGTGGGTGGAGCCGGACCCGGAGCCGGGCAGCGACATCCTGGGCTACATCAACATCATCGACCCCAACATCTGGAATCCCCAGCCCAGCCAGATCAACCGCATCAAGATCCGAGACACCTCCCAGGGGGGCGCCCAGCTGTGGAGGCAGAGCCAGGACTGCAGCCCCTCTCCGGAGCCCAGCACACCCCAAGACGGTCTCCCAGCCAAGAACGGCCTCCCCCAGGGGGACCCCAAGCCAGAGCCCCCTGTGCCCAAGCCCCGGACAGTCCCTGTGGCTGACGTGCTTGCCCAGGATGGCGGCGGTGCCGGCTGGGCCCCAGAAAGCCCGGAAGAGGAGGTGCTGCAGAACAGAACAGACCACGGGCTGCCCAGGACCCCAGCCCCAGGCCCTGCCCCGCCCCGGAGGCAGCTGTCTGTGGCCCAGGGTGACCCTGGCAGCGAGGGCGGGGGGATCCCCAACGGCCTGGACCAGGAGGACGAGGAAGACGACGATGACTACATAACCCTCAGCGACCAGGACAGCCTCTCGGGCAGCTCTGGCCTTGGCCGTGGCCCGCGGCGGCCCTCAGTGGCTTCCTCTTCTGTGTCGGATGAGTATTTCGAGGTGAGGGGACACCCGCCCCCTCTCCGGAGGCGCCACTCAGAGCAAGAAGCCAATGGGCCGGCCCAGCCCCCTCGCCGACAGCTGAGCGCCCCCCACATGACCCGCGGGACCTTTGGGGAGCCCCTGTGTGGTTCACCGTGGGCCCAGGGTCGGGGGAGAGAGGAAGCGGGCTCTCTGCGGAAGATGCAGGCCTTTCGCTCCGTGGACAAGAACGCACAGGTGGGTCAGGTCTCTGCAGCGGGTCTGGGAGCTCCTTCCCTGGGCCTGAGCGCCAGAGCGCCCTCCAATGGGCTCCCTGATGAATGGGGTAGGGAGTGGGTGGGCACCCCCCCCACCCCCCTGGGACCATGCACGCAGGCGCAGGCACAGGCACATGACGATGCTAGAGACCTTTGGCCCCAGTCTCCCCTCGAGGCAGCCTCTGCAGCACTGGCGCTGAATGGAACCAACCGTGTTTCACACCCGTGTGCTACAGGAAGTCAGCGGCAAAGAGCTCTTCCTGTACGTCCCCAAAGCACACAGCAAGTGGTCCTCCGGGGGCCTTGTGTCAAGCCACCTCCGTGTGGATCCCTTTGATTGTGGTCCTGGGGACCACTCTCCTCCCTGCCCCACCCCCACCCAGGAAACAGCTCATCTTCATCCTTTGCCTCTTCCTGGTACCTCTGCAGCCCCGGCCCTACCTGGGAACAGTGCACGGCTGATCATGCCTGGCATGATGATCAGGCCCATGGGCAGCATCTTGAGGTAGCTGGCCAGGATGGAGCCTGCCTTGGCGTGGTTCAAGTCCCGGGCCGACAGCGACCGCTGCACGATGACCTGGGGGCACAGGGAGGCAGTGAGTCCCAGTGGCAGGACTTACCCGGGGAGCCCCAGGGAGAGGCCTGGGGTGCTGTCCCGCTAGTGCCAGACCCGCCTGAGACAACCAACGCCCAAGCCTGATACCTGACGGCTCCCCCAGAAGCAGAGCTCATCAGGGGGCCGAGCGACGGGGGCCAAGGTACTCATTCCAGGGACTCAGTCTCCCCATCTGTTGAGCAGGGAAAGTGGATCCTGCCCAGCCTGCCACCCAGCAGTTGGCAGGGCTGGAGGGGCCCTGGTAGGATGGTACCAGGGGACTCCCCCAGCTCCTGTACCCTCACAGGAGGGGCTGGCATGTTCACACACGGGCTTTGTGTCGCTGGCAGAGGTCGGGAGCTCTCAGACCTGTGGTTGGGGGAAGCTTCCAGTTCTAGGTCTGCCTGAGGCATCGTCAGGTGGCCGTGGGCAGATCCTGGCTGAGCCTCAGTTTCCAGGTCTGCAGAATGGGAGGAGGGAGGCTCATGGGAACTGATGGCATCTGAGATCCCTCCCAACTCTGACATTACGAGTCTACTTCTTTAAAAAATCCACTTTCCCTAAAAACAGCTTTATCGAGCTGTAAATTCACCTCTGGTTCAGCCACAAAGTGTACATGTCAGTGCTTTTTCGTATGTTCACAGCACTGTGCACCTATGACTTTTAAATATAAAGTATTTTCCCTTTGCTGTCTGCATTGTAAATCCCTACCAGCAATGGAGAAGCAGGAATTATCCTAGACTTTAGCTGTTGCAAGCACATGCCAGTTGAACGGGCAGCGCCCAGCAGCGCCTTCCGTGCACGGCTCTCGATGGCACGAGGCACAGGGTGCCGGGGACTCGGGCCAAGCTGATGTCAGTCCTGCTTCTCCACCAGCTCCCGGTGACTTGGGGATACTTCCTTGCCTCACGCTGAGCCTCAGTTCCCTGTCTGGACAATGAGGAGGCTCTGTAGACCCTACCCACTGGTGCCCTGTGATGACACGTGCGCTGGCACGGCGGGCTGCATGGCACTGCTCTCGGCCGCCTGCAGGTGGAGGCTGAGGCTCAGGGCCGTCAGGCCTCCTGTGTTATTGGTTCTGTTTGTTTCTTTCTTTTTTTTTTTTAAAAACATCTTTTTTTAAATATATTCTATTGATTTTTTACAGAGAGGAAGGGAGAGAGACAGAGAGCCAGAAACATCGATGAGAGAGAAACATCGACCAGCCGCCTCCTGCACATCCCCCACCGGGGATGTGCCCGCAACCCAGGCACATGCCCCTGACCGGAATCGAACCTGGGACCCTTCAGTCCGCAGGCCGACGCTCTATCCACTGAGCCAAACCGGTTTCGGCGGTTCTGTTTGTTTCTGATTACAAGAGTGCAGCCTGTGCCTTGTGGATGAGCTAGGACAGTGGTCGGCAAACTGCGGCTCGCGAGCCACATGCGGCTCTTTGGCCCCTTGAGTGTGGCTCTTCCACAAAATACCACGTGCGGGCGCGCACATACAGTGTGATTGAAACTTCGTGGCCCATGCGCAGAAGTCGGTATTTTGTGGAAGAGCCACACTCAAGGGGCCAAAGAGCCACATATGGCTCGCGAGCCGCAGTTTGCAGACCACTGAGCTAGGAGACAGTGAAAAAAGTCTAAAGGAGAGAATGAGAAGTACCCTTGGTCCCAGCACACAGAGCTGCCACCTGGCGCTGACCAGACTGGGCGTCTCGGGGCGTCCTGGCCTGGGCTGAGTGGAGCTAGCCCTCCAGGTGTCCTGGGGAGTCCACAGGTGCTCGTGTGGGTCACAGCAGAGCAGGCCCCGGACGTCCACACAGGTGGGACCCAGTGGGCCCATCTCTGCCTTGTGGGTGCTCTGGACCAAGGCCTGGCTGCCCCCTGCAGGCCCAGCGTAGGCAGGAGGAGGGTGGGAGGTAAGGCTGAGGCCAGGCTGCGGGCCACCGATGCCAGTGGCGTCCCGCCTCAGCCTCCCCGTGTCGCCCTCTTTCCAGACGGGCCCATTCAGCCCTGACCTCGAGGCCAGCCCTGCCTTCATGAGAAATCTCCTGAATGATACCCCGCCCAGATGTGCCAGCACCGCGCCAGGCCTGTGCTGAGTGGGGAGGAAACGAGAGGTGCCGGGGTACAGGGGCACCGGCCAGCCCTCACTCCCCCGGCGTGCCCTCGGCCCTCCCAGGAGAGCCAGACGGAACCTGCCGTGAAAGCAGTGCTCCTCGGAGGCCCACGGGGTCCCTTCACTGTCATGGCCCCGGGAGGTCTGTCAGCAGACACACTGAGCACCTGCTGCCGGGAGGGGAGAGCCCCTGGCAGCCCCTCGCTGGACGGCAGCCCTGGCCCCAGGGAAACCCCTCCCTGTGGGTGCAGCCCCGGTCCTGCCCTCTGGGCCTCAGTGGTCCAGCCTGGGAATGGGGCTCACGGAACCTCCTGCAAGGGGAGGTGTCCCCACTGGCCCACAGAGATGCTGGGCTGGCCCTGGGGCCTGGCGCCTCACTCCCAGGACGGGGCCCTCGGGCTCGGTGCAGGGGCGCGGCCCCGGGTCTGTGCCGGCTAAGGCGCTGCTGCCTCTCGACGACTTTCCCCACCGGTGCCGGTGCCGGGGCTGCCCAGGGCCTGCCACCCAGAGAGGGGCGGAGGCTGTGAGGTCACCTGGCCCCGTCACCTCTCGGAGAGGACTGGAGGCAGGCTCCCAGGGCCGCCCCTGCGCACAGGACCTCCGGCAGGCAGGGCGGAGGTGGGGCAGGGACAGCGACGAACCGCACTTGGCGTATCACAGCCGCAAAAGGCGGTTATTCCCACAGGACACCTGGGAGCTGAGGCACCAAGTTAGGAAACCAGCGGTCAGGCCACCAGCTGCGAGCGTGCGGCTGCAGCCACTGGCAGAGCCCGCGGGAGGTGGGTGCTCCTCGGATGTCACCTGTCTTTTCTCTCCCCCCAGGACCACCATCGTGGACCCTCTGCCTTGGAGACGGGGGATAAAGATGGCTTCCCGCGGCCCTTGAGGACCCCAGGACCCCCGCCGTACTGCCCCGCTGCCGAGGGCGCCCAGAGCTCTAACAGGAGGGTGGGTTCCCACTACTGGCAGGCCAAGGGGAGCCTCGTGCCCCACACCCTGCCCGACCCCGGGAGCCCGCGGCTGGCCACCGACGTGCGTCCCAGTCCCCTGGGGATCCCGTACTCCAAACTGTCCCAGTCGAAGCACCTCAAGGCCCGGCCGGGCGGCGGCCAGTGGGCCTCCGATTCCAGGCGGAGGGTGCAGCCCCCTCGGGACCACAAGGACCCCTAGCCCGGTCATCCCGGCCTCCACCGAAGCCCAGGCCCGTGGGGGTGTTCCTGGGGCTGCACCACGGACGGGCAGGTGGGCGCCGGACCTGCAGCCCACCCTGGAAGGCAAGAAGGCCGCAGGCGACGATGCGGACACTCACCTGGTCGGTGCACCAGTACCAGGTGGCCATGATGGTCAGCCCGAAGGTCATCCCGGTCCACGGGAGGTCCGCCGTGTGGGGGTCTCGGAACATGTGCATGGCATCCGCACGCGGCAGGTGGCAGGTCGTGTTGGCAACAGTCTTGGATGGTATGGCCTGGGCGTAGGCTGCTGCCAGCTGCTCATACCCGCCGATCTGGTCGAAAGCTGGTGGGGTCGGGGCAGGACGGGGCGGTTGGTGGCTGGTGGCCTGACTCCCAGCCCCCCGCTACCCTCACCTCACAGGGAACTTCCTGTGGGTCCAGCTGGCCTCCCCACCCCACCTTCCCAGCGTCAGGGAGAGCGGGGTGTGGGGGGGCGCTCTGCAGAGGTGAGTCCCCCACTGTTTTCTATGTATTTAAATACTATTAAATGAGCACGTGGTCCTATGGCCTCTGATGCTGGTTGGCCGTGGGCACGGGCTTTAAACCCTCAATTCAGGGAAGAAAAGCACTTTTTCTCAGCACGTAAGGACCTTCCGAGGAGTTTAGTGTTAAAGTCCTGCCCCAGGGGCTTCTGAAGAACGTGATTTGGGGCAGGCGGAGAATGGCGGGCAGTGACAGCCTGAGAAAGGAAACCAGTCCCAGGGGACAGGGAGGGGTCACAGGGCCAGCCAGCTGGGCCTCAAGCCCAGACCACATGCCCCCTCACTGCTCCTGTCTACCTCAGGGTCAGCCCCTCATGGCCCAGCCTGGCCCCCTGTGGCTTTGGCTGTGTCTGCAGTCACTCCCCTCTGTCCAGACCGGGCCTGGCCACTCGGGCCTCTCGCCTGCAGTGGGTTCTAGGGTCTCAGGCCCCTGGTCTGAGAGGAAGCAGATACCCAGAAGCCTGGACACAGGAGAACCCAGGCCCTACTCCCCACCTTTCCCACGCGGGACGTCTGCTGCCCAGACTCTGGGCCCAGCATCCTTGCCGCCTGGAGCCCAGGCCAGGCCGGGGTGAGTGCTCAGAGCAAAGGTACAAACACTACACAAGAGGCAGATGTTGCCACGGGATCTGGCGCCTGAGTCTGGAAGAGACTTAGGCCCCTGGCCCCCCTCTGTGGGGTCCTGGCTCTGCTGGCACCTTCCAGGAACGAGGCGTTCCCCGGAGCCCCGGGACAGCCTCTGCCAGGTCAGGTCTGCCTCGCCCTGCGCTCCTCCGCCCTGCCCAGCGCTTCTGGGCTCTTGTCTGTGGTTCTTAACAATCGGAGCAGACACCCAGGCAGGTTTGTGGTCGCATTGTGTGTCTGCACATCCGCCCTGGGCCCCACCTCACCCTCAGCCCTGAGCCAGCTCTGCACCAGACGCCGAGCCCAGACCCCAAAGGGCGTGCTGCTGGGCGGCCCTGCCAGTCCGTAGCCCTCACCTTTGACCGTCAGAATGACAGCCCCCACCACCATGATGAGCGTTTGCAGGGCATCGGTGTAGATCACAGCGGCCAGGCCTCCTGCGGGGAGAGAGGGAGCTGGAGGGCCTGGTACCGAGGGAGCAGGACCAGGGAGCGCTTCCAGGGCTCCGGGCGGGCCTGCTGCTCCACATCCAGGCCCTGCCCTTTCCCGGGAGGGTGAGCGGTGGGAGCAGGCAGCTGGGCCAGCACAGCCGGACTACAGCTGTCCAGGGCTGTGGGGGGAGGTGGCCCCGCCTCCTGCTCGTGCCCGTGGGCTCTGCTGGCCTCTCAGATCCGGGCACATGTCCGCCCGGCTGCACCAATGCCCAGCCCGGCGGTCAGGACCCTCTCTCCAGTTTGCCACCCGACCGGGCCTGGCGTACCTGCGATGGTGTACAGGGCGGTGATGGCGAGCATGAGGATGGTGGACAGGTAGAAGTTCCAGCCCAGGCAGATGTGCACGAACAGGGCCCCCGCGTACAGGTCGATCTGGGTGGGAAAGGCATCTGTGTAGAGGCCCGAGGGGACCGCAGGGTGAGCGAGCCCCCGCTGCTGCTCACTCCCCTAGTGGCCTCAGCGCCCTGTGGATGAGGAGGGACCCCACCTGCCAAGGGCTGGGTGAGGGCGGAGGAGGGCCTGGCCGGGCCACTGCAGCAGGGACGCTAGTGTTGGTGGAAAGTCCTAGTGAGCCACGCCCACCGGGGAGCAGCGTTGCTACTGACCCTGGCCCCTGGGAGGGGGAGGGGGGTAAGGGCAGAGCCCTGGCCCTGTGGTTCCCAGGGGATCCTTGATGAGGAGGACCCAAGGAGGGCTTCCTGGGGGAGGCCCACAAGACTAGAGGCCTCCGGAAGCAGGTGCACGTGCCTCCGTCCAGGGGAGCCTGTCTGGACCCCACTCCCTGCTCCCTGTCAGCCGGGGCCTCCGAGAGGAGACCAGGGTGGGCGGGGAACGGCGGTCTTGCTTCATGCCCCGGCGGGACTGGAACGAGTCAGGACTGTGTGTCGGGCTGAGCTGGACCCAGGGGCTGGGCTCGACACAGCCCTTGCCAGCCCAGGACCCATTTGGGGCAAGAACCCGAGCTCCAGGGTGAGCTCTGGACCCGGCCCCCCAGAGCTTGTCCGTCCCCCTGGGCAGGGGGCCCAGAAAGAGAAGGGCAGGGCCCTGCCCGTGTCCAGGCCGGCCATTCCGTGCTGGCTACGAGGGGAGACACCTGAAATAGCCTTTGGGGCCACAAGCTCCTGAGAAGGCTGGGCGGGCTGTGGGCCTGTCTGCGCCTGGTCCAACTTGGAGCTGCCGGCACTGCGGGGGGTGAGGCCTGCAGACCCCCTGCTCCCGGGCCTAGGACAGAGCCCACGTTCCCGCGCCTCCCTCCAGGCTCTTCCTCCCTTCTTCTGGGGAGGACACCCTCCTCCGGCCACCACAAAAGACCCTCCCTGAACCCCAGCTGCCCTCAGAGCGGAGCCCTGGTCTGTGCCTGCCCTTCCGGCCACGCGTCCCTGTAAGCACAGGTGACACTGGCCACGCCATCCCGCGCCCAGCACTTTGCTGCCTCCAGGCCTCGGCACCCAGTCTCTGCATCGCATCCTCCAGAAGTCACTCCCCAGCTGCCTGTTACCCCCTCTCCGCTCAAGGCCAGTTCCACCCTCCCTGGTGGCAGCAGGCCCCTAAGAGGGCGAGGACTGACAGGCCGCAGGGCAGCACAGCCGAGGTGTGGAGGAGGGACACTCCCTGTCTTCGCTCCGGGTCGCACACAGCGTCCAGCGAAGGCTTGCTGCTGTCACAGGCGCAGCCGCCTGCAGGCTCCGAAGGAGTCCCCGATGAATCTCAGGGACACCGGTCCGTCTCCGGGTCTAAGCCGACCAGAACTCTCCTCTGCAGAGCGGGGCAAGCTGCAACCTGGTAGAAGCTCAGAGCCCTAACCCAGAGCTGCAAGGACCTGGGTCTGTGTCCCTGGTCAACTGTCCCAGCTAAAGGT